CTAAGCAGCTTAGAATAAAGCCAAAGCATCTGACAATAAATAGACTGATTAGCAGCTGCCACAAGGTTGTCATGTTTCCCCAGCAACAGGGAGGCAGCAGCAACATCCCTGGGAAGCACTTCATTTAAACGCCTGCGACAAAGCACCGGACCACCGTTTAGGGGCCAAGAGCTCTGGTTCACAGATGTGCAGTGATGTAAACACATTGTTGACTAACAGCTGCTGGTGGGCAAGGCAAAAGAGGACTATTCAGCTCCATCATAAAAGGTCTGGCTGTTTCTACTGAATGAAAATAGTGAACACAGTACAACAGTTGTGCTGAATAATGTGCTAAATATCTCCCTGTGAGAGGGAAGGATTACATACGAGATGCTGCAAATGAGACCTCAGCTGTATCCGATTGGGAGGATGAATTTACAGTCTTGCACAAGGACATGACATGCAGGCATGCTGAAGATAATTTATTTTTGCTAACATCTTTTTTTGGACTTTCCCAGAGCCCCACATCATATCTCCTCCCTATGACATCTGGAACATCACTGGGCAAGATGTGATCTTTGGCTGTGAGGTCTTTGCCTACCCCATGGCAGCTATAGAATGGAGGAAGGAAGGGCTGGATATGCTGCTTCCTGGAGATGACCCCCACATCTCTGTTCAGGTGAGCCACAGACTTTTAATATGATGATGCCACAGAGTCTGAAGATTAAGCTTGTCGCTACAACACGCATGTGATTTAGCTGCTGCCTCATCCATCCATCCTTTTCTTCTGTCATAAGCCTTTGGAACTGCCTGCTTGTACAGTCTGCTTAATAGGTGAAATGTAATCAATTTATCCGGATGACCTTCTGTATCTTGTGTCCTTGTTCCCCAGAGGGTTTTTTTGTTGCTGCTGAGAAGACAACTGCATCCTTACCTGTTCTGTGACTTTTCTTTTCCTTTGTGGAATTCAATTCTGTACTGGTACAGTAGTCTGAGTATATATGCAACCTTTGCAAGGTATAGTCACAGGTATTCGCAACTACCACTGTACATATTGGACATACCTTAACTCAGAAGGCTTCAAGTTCTCTTCAGAAGAGTTAACAGGCTTTGGAGAGCTTGACTAAAATAGAATATGAGAGCCTGCAGGGCAGCTGCAGTCCTACCCTTACATTTAGAGGGTGTGGAAGGAAATCCTGGGAAGCTTTTATAGAAACCGCATAGCTGTATCATTATATGGAGTGTTTTGGTGGGGCAAAACAATATGTCACTGACATATTAAGCGTCTGGGAATAGCTCCTTGTTACGGGTAAGATACGAGCAGTGTGGTGGGGTGGGGAGCCGTGCAATGCCGTGACAGCCTCTTTCCTCTAGGGAGAATGCCATGTGCTTTACTTGATGGCATTTTGTTGCCATCCCCTTTGACAGCAGGTTTCACAAATACATTGAAGCTGGCCTAAGGAAGCAGATGCAAGGGATGAAAGTAAACAAATGAAAACTGGCACCAGGAGTAGCTTTTTAAAAGGGAAAAGCTGAAACAATGGAATTCTCTCCAGAGAGAAACTTGACTGGATTAATTAAAAACTGTTTGGATGAAACACTAGAGAATACGTGGCATAGAAAAATCTCTGTACGGAGGAAAAGGATTTAGCTGGATGAGGCTACTGAGGTCCTGATGCATTGCTAAATCCTGTTCACATCTGGGGACCTGGGAAATGGGACTGATTTAGTCTATCAATTTTATTTGAGCAGCTTCAGTTCAAGGTTAGTTTATTACCAACATATCTGGAAAATCTAGGGCTGCCAACTCTTAGTTAGGAAATTCCTGGAGATTTTGGGAGAACCCTACTTTACATTTTTGCTAGTTTCTAAGTCTCATGTTGCAAAACGTGACTGAAACTATACCTTTTAAAAGTTCGGACGGGATACTGGATGGACTTAAAGCAGTCAAAAGCAAGATTTTGTGTCTCATATATTGCTCCTTGCCTCTATATGTTAGGCCCTCCCTGCTTCACTCCACAGGTCCCCTTTGCTCCTTTCTTCTGCTATTCTAGACCCTGCCAAAGTATTACAGATTTTGGAAACACTTTCTGTCCTGCTTTGCTATTTCAAAGCAGTTTTTTTAAAAAAACGCATCACTTCCTGTGTTTCATGTTCTCCTGCCCATTGATTAAGTAACTTTTTTTTGGGGGGGGGGGGATGTGGTTGAGTGTTCTGAGGCGACAGCAAAAGAAAGCTGTATTCACAATGAGAGTTTACAAAGGAGCCCAAGCAGACAGTTTGTGGGCAATTCCTACTCCTCTCTAATTTAGGCACTACAAGGAAAGATAGAGCATCCTACAGATGGTTCCATTTGCAAGGAATGTGTATTGTTTCCAGGGTGGAAAACACAATATAATGTTTCACAGCGGGCTGAGATATCTAGAATCTATCCAACTACAAAAGACACACACTCTGTTAAGTGTGATTTTGTGTGAGTATAGAACTGGACACATACATTTGTCTTTCAAAATGCAGATGTGGCCCACATGCATTATATATATTTGTGTACCCAAATTAGGCCCTTAGAGTACAAATTTAGAGCGAGAAAGAATAGGGTGGGCCTCAGTGAACAGTTTCCGACCATGACAGAATGAATCCAGATGTTTGATCTGACCACTAGGATTAAGACAGGGTTATAAACTATTAAGGGGAAGTGTGAAGGAAAATGCTGAAGGAAATATGCATATGTACCCACGCGTGGGACAATTACAATTTTTCTTATGTAGAAAGCTGAATACCTAGAATGTATCTAGATGGCCACTGGCCAGTATAGTTCAGAGGTAGTTTATGTCAATTTATTTGCACTACATCAGTGAAGGTGATTGAGCAAGAAATGATAATTCAAAAGCTCATATTAGTGCTTTGCTTGAGTAGGAGGGAGATTGCTCAAGCTGATACTATAGGGAGGCCATATTGATTGCATCTGGATAATCTTGCTATAGCACATATCAATTTTTGCAGGGAAATCTAAGATGTTATTAGTCCAGGATAAAATCTCAGTTTGAGCAATACTCCCTTCTACTAAGGCAAAGCACCTAGATGGCTTCTGAAGTATCATTACTTGCTCAGTTAGAGCAAGTAAGCAAGCAATGAGCTTAGAAGCATTTACCTCTGCTTTAGGATGGCACTGCAAGCCACTTACTTGCTGGTAAGATTGTTCAAATTAAATTCTTTCCAGTAGCTGCCAGTCTGGTGATATTTAATTCCCTCTAGTTTAGGGGAGGCCCTCAGAAATATGAAGTGACCAGTTGGCTCCAGATCCAAGCTGTGCGGGTGACGGATGAAGGAACCTACCACTGCTTCGCAAAGAACAAGGTTGGGCAAGTAGCAGCTCTTGCCAACCTCATGGTTATTACTCCGGGTAAGTGTGCCCCCCCCGGCAGAGAAACAAATCCTTTGTGCAGTCTGTTTGGGCCCTCTCCACCAGGCACCCCTTTCCTATGCTCCCAGACACCCAGTGATTTCCCCTTAGCTTCTTACATTTTCTATTTTTCTTTTGAACTACCTGATATTCCCAGTGCTGTGGCTACCAATATTACTCTGCTTTGGTTTCATATTTCTACTGAACTGAACCAATCAGATGGTTTACCTTCTACTACTGATTAAACCCATGGATTAATTGACCTCTTGTGCCCAGTAAAATTCTGCTGTTTTGAAGAGTCAGATAATGCTTTTCAAACAGATGGAACTCTGTTTTTTCTGCCTTACCCACTTAGGTCACAATGACACATTACAAACTTGGGGCTGTCACTCAAAATTACACTGCTAATTTCCCTGATCCTATGTAAGATGCTATGTAAGATCCTATGGAGCTGCGGTGGCTCAAGTGGTTAAGATGCTGAATTGCAGGCTGTGGAAGGTCGGTAGTTCAGCAGTTCGAGACCTGAGTCCCGCATGACGGAGTGAGCTCCCGTCTCTAGTTCTAGCTCCAGCCAACCTAGCAGTTCGAAAGCAAAAAATTGCTAGTAGATAAATAGGTACCACTTTGGTGGGAAGGTAACAGCATTCCGTGCGCCTTGGTGTTTAGTCATGCCGGCCACATGACCATGGAAACATCTTCGGACAGCGCTGGCTCTTTGGCTTTGAAACGGAGATGAGCACCGCAACCCTAGAGTTGGATTCGACTGGCTTTCGAGCAAGGGAACCTTTACCTTTACCTTTATGTAAGAACGGAAGAACATAAGAGAAGCCAATGTTGGATCAGGCCAATGCCCCATCCACTCCAACACTCTGTCACACAGTGGCCAAAAATACCAGGTGCCATCAGGAGGTGCACCAGTGGGGCCAGGACACTAGAAGCCCTCCCACTGCTGCACCCCACCAAAGCACCAAGAATACAGTACATCACTTGCCCCAGACTGAGAGTTCCTATCTATACCTTATGGCTAATAGCCACTGATGGACCTCTGCTCCATGTGTTTATCTAATTCCCTCTTGAAGCCATCCATGCTTGTAGCCACCACCACCTCCTGTGGCAGTGAATTCCATGTGTCAATCACTCTGTTGAGCTAGCCAGTCCTATGGAGCAGGGGTGAGGAAATGATCACTGTAATGATGTTCTAGAGATAGAGTAACTTGAACTACCATCTATAGAGGGGGAGGATGTTACCTAAGAAGTGGCTCCCACTTTTCAGGAGGAACTCTGTGTCATGTGTGCTTCCTTCCATACCCAGTGTTCATCATCCAATGATAGATGCCTTCCAGATCCAGATCCTGCTTTCTGTCCAGTGGACCATGATGTCCCTTTTTAGTATTTATTATTTTTTTAAAAAACCCTTACCAATGCAATTAACATGGTTTGTCAAATAATGTTTATGGCATTCACATTTAGTTGATTTATTGATTCTGTTAAAAAACAGACATTAAAATGTTAATTTACTAACGACTCTGGCAAGTGACCCGCCTGCTTATGCCAACTCTTTATGTATTGCTGTGATGGAAAGCTAATGATCCTGGCCAAATGTCTCCAGTAATGTAGAATAGTAATGCCCTGACCTCAATAGCCCAGGCTAGCCTGATCTCATCAGATCTCAGATGCTAAGCAGGGTCAGCCCTGGTTAGTGCTTGGATGGGAGACCACTAAGAAGATCCGGGGTTGCTATGCAGAGGTGGGCAATGGTAAACCACCTCTGTTCATCTCTTGTCTTGAATGCCCTATGGGGTTGTCATAAGTCAGCTGCAACTTGATGGCCAAAAAACCAAAAAAACCCCCCACCAAACCCAGATGGTAAAGGTCACAAACTCTTTAAAAGGACTGATCTCTTGCCTTTTGCCTTTCAGATCAGCTCAACTTGACTGAAATGGCCTTGCCCAAGGTACCCTACCTGAGACAGGATGATGATGTGGAAAGTGACGAGTCAGATGACTATTACTGATGGAGCATAGATGGAGCAGAATGTGGGAATGCGCGTGCACTTCTCTCCCACTTAAACATTTGCTTCCTACCTTACTGCAGCTCCAGACTTCCAGGATGACCAGGACTGAATCTTTGTGCTGATTCAAGGAAGCTGGCTAAAGATATTCTGTGAACAGTTTTTATATCAGTTCACATTGGGTGGGAAAGGTAGATGTACTTAATAATTTGACACCACCTCTGGTGGAGAAACAAGTGGGAGGGGGGAATGGTTGCATTTAGCTTATCCTAGAGCAAGTGGGCATTAAAAGGTGAGGGAGAAAAACAGAACTGTCCTGTGCTAGTGGATAAAACCATTGACCAAACAATGTCTTCTTTTTTTAAAAAAAACTTTTTTCCCACTGTGTGTTGTTTGAAAAGCCCCTCGCAAAGTCTCATTAGAAACCATGGTGGAATTCCAGAGGGTTTATGCATGTCAGGTTGGACCTTCACAACACTGACTTTCAACCAAACCAATGGTTTCTGAGTTTCCCCTTTAGGAACAAAATCAGACATTCATCCAGAAAAATGGGTGGGAAATCTGTGGCCAAACCAGGATATGGCACAAACAAGAGAATCAATATACTCCTGACAGAATCCTTATGGGCCGCTTTGACTCTTGCAAATGGAGGGCTTTGAGACCTGGGAGTTAATTGCTCAATTTATGAATGGGTCTCAGAGCATCTGACACATAAACACAATATCAGCTCTGGAGGCATAAGCTTCTATCTGTACTACTAAATGTAAATGAACAAAGGTCATAGCAGACAAATTCTGGATTCACATATGCGAGTTTCCTGAGGCAATCAAGTGATAATGTGCATGTGTGGAATAGTTATCACAGATCTGGAGGCACGCTGGGATTTTCCGGTTGACAGGGGTCAAACCTCTGGCACGCAAGCTGAACAGTGGCATGGCAGATCGTTTCCCCCTGGCACCGAAGCCCTGTTTTCCACCCAAGGTGAGCCCTTGAGCTACAGGCAGGCAGTGCCATTGGGGCTCACCTCACTCCCAGTGTGTCTGGCCAAGTGCAACTGCTTCTTCCCCTTTGTTTGCTAGTTGCCAACATCTTAACAGGTAGATGTAATGGCTTGTTTAGTATTTAGGCGAAGGAGAAACTGAGGCTGAAAATACACTAAGGCATGAATTTTCCTTTATTAAATCCTTGGTTGAGTACCCACACTGACAAAGAAAACTTTCTCTCTCTCCCCCAAAGTACTTGAGGGCATGCAATGAAAGTAATAGGCAGAGAGCCACCATGGTTACTGGTTAGGATAAGGATGCTAGCCTCCAGGTGGGACCTGGGGATTCCCTGGAATTGCAGTTCAAGTCCAGGCTAGAGATCAGTTCCCCTGGAGAAAATGGATACTTTGTAGGGTGAACTCTATGGCACTGTGCCCCACTGAGGTCCCTGTCCTTCCCAGGCTCCATCCTCAAATCTCCAAGAGTTTCCCAACCAGGATCTGGCAATCTTACCCCCCACATTCAGCCAGATAGAATAGACCAAGATGGCTGCCCACCTGGAATTAACAACCCTAAGTTAGAGTTTCAGACTAGGGTATGGGAGACCCAGGTTCAAATCCCTACTTGTGCCATGGAAGCTTGCTGGGTGACCTTGGGCCAGTCACTCTCTCTCAGCCTAACTTACCTCACAAGGTTGATGTGAAAGGATAAGATGGAAGAGGGCATAACAATGTATGGGAGGAAGGATGGGATAAAAATGTTTTAAATAAATAAGAAAGTACCTTTTCTCACAACACATAATGACCTCATTGCCATGGGATGTGATGGGCACTAGCTGAATGGTTTTAACAGAGTTATTGGGTGAATTCATGGTGGATAGTTCCATCAATGCCTAATAGCCATGATGCTTGGAACCAGTGTACCGCTAAAGGCCAGTGGCTGGGGTGTAGGTAGGTAGGGGCAGGTTTTCACCTATGTGCCCATTTTTGTATGTTTCCCAGGAGCATCTGGCTGGCCACTGGAAAACAAGATGCTGGGCTAAGGTGGGCTGTTGGTCTGACCTTGTATTTGTACTCCAGCTAACTGGGGTAAAATGACAAAAGAATTGTTAATAAAGCCACCCAGCAGGCTAAACCTGCTTCTGGAGTGTGGGGTTGTGCCAGAAATGTCACCATCAAATAGGCTGTCATGAACATACAAATCTGCAATATACTGAATTGGACACTTGGTCTGAGACATGGAAAGTGAATTTTGGTTCTACTTTAGAAGTCCTTTCCTAGCCTCCACATCACAGGCAAACTATCAACTAGGGAGTTACAGGATACAAAATGCACAACATCAGCTTAGCTTAAAAAACAACAACTGTGGAGAGAATCTCATGGGCCACAACTCTTACTTGTTTCAACACCACTTAAAAATTAAAAGAAGAAAATAACCTCCTCTGCACCAGGCCTAAGGTTAATTGTTCAGAATCTGTCACTGCCACAGAAGTTAATTAAAGTTATTTGTTGTTACTTTAAAATATGCTGGTTCGGCTCTCCTGCTGGGACACTGCTGGCTTCCCAGTGGCTGCTCAGAAGCTTCCATTAACCCTGCTGTGCCTGGTCTGTCCTGCACCTATGAAGCTGCTGCTGGCTACCAACCACTGCAGTCACAGTTGCCCCTTTTTCCCCTCAGGCTCCTGTGTGAAAGCAGAACCAAACAGGGGAAGCATTTCCCATCATTCTAGTCAAAGAACATTTCATCTGTTGCTTTTATTCTTGACATGCAGCTCTTAAAAACATTGGGTTGAGAGCAGTCCTAAACAGCTCTACTCAGCGTCCTACTCAGATATATCCAATGAGGTATACTCAGGTACATCCAAGTGTTCTTAGGATCACACTGACCGTGGTGCCATCTCTTTCCCTCTCTTTCCTCCCCCTCTCCATCAATATATGCTTGTGCTGACAGTCAGTGCTGGGCTTGGAGGTGAAAGCATGTGTTCTGCTTTGCTATGGGATTTCTGCCATGCTCCCTAAAGCTTTCAGTGAAGCATGGAACAATAGTCCTTCTCTCTTTGAATCCCCTTTCCTGGGCTTTGGACAAAAATAAACATTGCCATAATAACTGCCTGTCTTTGTTTTGTCTTAGTTACACTTGGAGAAGCTCGCAAAGCTTTAATCATGCCCTAGGGAAGTCTGCTATGGCGATGTCTGGGAACCTTTGTTCCAGCTAAACCAAGCCTTTAACAGCTTTTATTCATTTCTTGTATTTAAACACAATAATTGTCACAGGGGAGAGAAAAGAGAAATGAGCACTGGGAGACTCTAAGCTCATGACGCTGTGCAGATTTTGGACAAGCCACTTGGAAAGAAAAGGATTGTTTTAGGATGTGCACAACTTGGGACCTTCCGGCCTTTACAAATAGGAAGCAGAGTTCATACATCATAGCTACTCTGGGGTCTGGATTTCATCACTTGACCAGCCGTGCAACACTTTGCCAAGAAGAAACACAGGTCAGGGAGTCAGGAATCTCCACCTCATAGCAAGAAACATGGATTTATTGCTCCATACAGCTTTTAGGGGAAACAATCATTTTATCCCACAAAAAGACAGCACCATCTGAAGAAAGGTGCACTTGACCCAAAGGAGGAAAAGGAAGCTGACAGCCAGTGGCTTTATTACATGGTTAATAATGCTTCATTAAGGAAATTCAGGGAAGAACTTCTGGTTTTCTTTAGATCTTTATGGAGAGGGTCAACATATCAGAACAGCCAATTAACCAAGATTCAATGCATTCATTTAAAACAGCAAGGATACAGCTTGCTTGGAGGATCTTGGTACAGATGGGTGGCAGCAAGAATGAGCCAGAATGGGATCATCAGGGGTCATTTAGTAGGAAAAGAGCTGCAGGAGCTCATTAGCATAACTTATTAGAATATGCCACACACCCTGACATCACTGGAAGTGTGCACCAGCCCCTCTGACAGGCAGAAGCACCTGGGATCCATTCTTCCCCCCCTCCCCCTTCCCTTCGCCTCCAAGTCGGGCGAAGAAAAAGGTTCCAGGTTTGTATTCTCACTCTGCTGGCTGAGTGACCCCGGGCCAAATCTCCCCTTCTCTACCTAACCTACCCCACAGGGTTGTTGTGAGGAGACTCATGGGCAGGGTCCCCAGCTTCCCTGGCAAGAACACTATGTTAAGAAATCTCTCATACAATTATGCAGCCATAGCCAGCAGGAGGGAAGGAGGCAAATGCCTCCAGCGCCAGAGACTTGTAGAGGAAGAGTCAAACTTTGGGGACTCACCCATGCACCAGAGGCCCAAGGCAGCAGGAGGCAAGAAGCCTGGGCGAGCTGGGCTACTCCATGCCTGGCAGAAGATGAGGTACAGAGGCAAGAGGTGGGCAAGCAGAAGAGGCACTCAGCCAGCCGCACAAGCTGTGTGCAAAGAAACTCCCGCCGCCCCAAGCTTTAGGGCTGCCTCATTAAAGGAGTGCGGAGGCCAGACTCGCAAATGAGAAAAAGCAAGCTCAGGGTTCGTGGGTCGCATTTTGGGCTGTGGAAGAGGAACCGGCTCCATTCCTGGAGTTCTCTCGAGTTCCTGCCCTTTTGGTTTTGCTTTTTGCCAGTCCGCCTCCCAAGACTGCTCCAGGTGCTCCGGCCTGAGGGCTGCTAGGGGTGGGGCTCGAGTGCTCATTACTTGTGGAGCTGAGGCTCAATGTCTCCAGCTGCTCCACCACCTTCCCTTCCCTTGGTTTGCTCGGGGAGCCCGAGCAAGCCAGCTGCTGGAGGAAAGGAGAGGTGGTTTAAACCACCTTCCCTTCCCTTGGCTTGCTCAGGATCCCCGCGGCTGCAGAGAGCCCGAGCAAGCAGGCTGCTGGAGGGATGTGCATTCGGTTCGTCTGAACTGGATGCACCCCCGAAAATGGCCCATTTGGGCCCCTTTCAGGCTGCTGTGGGCTGAATCAGATTCTCTGATCTGAATCGGCTTCCCGCGGTTCTGCCCCATTATATCCTAAGGGCCATTGAAGTCAATGGCGAAGACATAGGGTGTATTCTGGGGGCTGGAGGAGAGGGGGTTTGAGGGAGAGGCTCCAAAATCGCAGGGTAGCTGCTGGAGCCTCTTCCCAAGATACCCTCCATGTTTCAGGAACATTGAACCAGGGT